TGGCAAAGTTAGAGAACTTATCAGCATCATCCACAATTGCCCATCTCAAGAGCCAATTTGCGAGATGGACACAATCATCTCCGATAATTGTCTGCAAGTTTCACAACATCCGCGAAGGATACGGAAAATTCTTCGCATAGCTGAAGACCCCTTCAAAGGTCTGTTAGCATGCCGAAACACTATCCTGGAAGATGTTGGATTGTCTCCAGCACAAATGTTCATGGGGAGAATGTTGAAAACGGACATTCCCACAACTGCCCCATTACTACAATCCAAAGTAGTAGTATTTTAAGAGTATTAAACGGTCCATGTAACAGTCCATGCAGTTCATGCAACGGTCCATGCTAATAATAAACCAAGGGGGAAACGGTCCATGCAACGGTGCATGGAACAGTCCATGCAGTCCATGCAACGGTCCATGTAACAGTCGATGCCGGGTTAAACAGTCCATATAACACTTCATGCAACGGTCCATGCAACACAGATCTTACGTGATATCGGTCCAGTATGTAAGCATATAAAGAGAGAGCGTTTTCGACATACTTCATTTCAATGGCTCAAGCTCACGTCGATCTGATCAAGAAAGAAGACATCAGTACATTTCATCCAACGGAGTAGTTTTTCGACTCAGCCTTACACAGGAAGTCGTCATCAGAAAACTTAAAGGTGAGCGTAGAATTGTCTGATTGAAGAGGGAAAGAGAACGAGACTATCGGGAGAATTTTTAAAGAAACTTTTGACTTTGTCGGAGAGTTTGTGTTGCATCTGTGCATTTGTAGAAAAATAACATGGACAACGTTACAGACAGCTGTAGTGTTAGTCATTCATTACCTATCATACGTCCACGTCACCCATCCTTAACCAAATGTTGCAACCGTGCAGATACGTTTGCTAATTGGCCAAAACATCACCATCACTCTCCATATCAACTGGCAAGTAATGGGTTTTTCTATATGGGAATAGAAGATCGTGTTTCATGTGTGGAGTCACTTTAAAAAATTGGAACTATTTCGACGATATCAAAACTGAACACGTGAGGTGGTCAAAAGACTGTCTGTTTCAACAGATTATGTTTATGATTTAAATACCAGATCACCTCGTCACCGTACCGTAATGGAATTAAACACGGATTTGTTTCCTAAAAGATTGCAGAATTATTTCATCGAAAAAACCGAACAAAAGGCCTATCGAAGAATAGTAAAACATTTGCTGTGTCTCTCTTATGCATACGTTGTTAAATAAAAAATGTCGGAACTTTTCGTATGTTTAGGATGTGAGAATCGTCGAGCTAGTCAACATGAACACGAATGTCTGATGTTTTCCCCCGATGTTATCACAGACTTACATTTTGACGAAGCTTTAATCTATACTAACAATTTGGAAGTGGAAAATATTTGGCGTGAATTCACCATACAATCTTGTATACCTTTAGGTACATAACAATGTCTGAGGGATGAAAACTATGTAAAACAAAGCTATAGCGAAAAGATAAAGAAATACGTGAAGAAAATCGGTGAAGTTCAGACATACCTATTCATTTGACTGCGAACCGTTGCAGATAGTATAACAGATGGACACTGTTATCACTCGTCCAGTATACCCGCATATGGCGAGCTGTGTCGATCGACTGATATCGTTTTATGAACGGAACCGTAAACTTCGTCAGACTCCTTACCAGCTAGCTTGTGACGTTTTTTTTTACGAAGGTGTCGGTGATTACGTTACCTGTTATAACTGTGGAATAACACTGAAATATTGGGAACATAAAAACTTTTCTGTCGAGTACAGTGATCGTCATTCTGTCTTACCTTACCCTCCAGGCTGCTAGCATAGAAAGTGAAATGAAATCGTCAGAAGTCGTCAGAATGGAGAACTTATTACACCTGACATATGCAAACCATGTCCGTGAAATCATGAGTGAAAGACGATGTGGCATTAAAGATGCTTTTATTCATATATATGACATAAGAGTGATTAGAGACTTTATCAGAGAAACTGTTCGATTTAACATAGAAAGAAGCTTCAGAAACGCCTTCATATCGCGGTTGTTTAATGCCGAATGGAGAATGAACGAACTCAAAACAGAAAAATGGAAAGACTGCATCCATAAAATGGTTCAATCCATAAGTCGCGTAGAAGACTGGTTCCACAAAACAATGTAAAAAACTTACTATGAAACAATGTTTGTAAATAATGTAATATAATATAATAAAAGATTGCACATAAATGTTTTGTCTCATTTAATATGTTGACCGAGGAAGAGAAGCGTCTTGTAGACAGAGTATATTACAATTTTAATAACGGAGGTGCATTTCTGAGTCTGACGAAAGTTCACCAAGTACTGAAATATCGTGGAATCACTTCACCAGGTCTGTATAAGATTGGAAGATATATACAGAGTCTGGACGATTATAGTTTACAAAAACCAGTCAAGCGTTCTTTCAACAGAGCACGAGTGGAAGTCTCCGGTCCATACGAAGAATTTCAAGCCGATCTTGCAGACGTATCGAACATCTCCAAACAAAATGACGGTATCAGGTTCCTTCTGGTTGTCGTAGACGTATTCACCCGTTTCTTATGGGTGCAACCTACAAGGACCAAAACGACGAAAAAGTGTTAGATGCATTCAAAAAGATAATCGATAGCACAAAAAACACGTCTTTTTACGGACGCCGGCAAAGAATTTACGGGGAACCTGATGAGACAATATTGTAAAGACAATGACATTAAATACTTTACTAGTCGTAACGAAAAGAAGGCCGCCATGGTCGAACGTGTCATCAGGACGTTAAAGACCATGATGTATAGATATTTCACGAAGTACAGAACTTATGTATATGCAGACAAATTGCAAGATTTCGTCAAGAGTTACAACGCCACACCTCATAGATTGTAAACGGTATACCCCCCAAAGACGTAAACAAAACAAACGAAGCCGATCTGTTTGTCTACATGTACCTCAGAAATAACACACGAGGTCTTCCAAACAGAAAACCGTCAAGAAGCCAAAATTTAGATTTAGATAGGAAGTCTCGTGAGAATCTCACACTTAAAGCAACCGTTTACGAGAGCCTATCAACAGCAATGGTCTTCAGAAATCTTCAATGTTAAGAAACGGTTCTAACGCCAAGGCATAGCGCAGTACCAATTGATCGACTTTTTAAACGAGTCGATCACGGGGAATTTTTATCAGTCCGAACTACAGAGAGTGGACAAGGACGAAAATGTCTTGTGGTATATAGAAGAAAAATTAAAAAAATGTAAGAGAGCAGGTCGGATCGATTGGTAAGTCAAATTTGAAGGGTGGCCGTCTAAATATAACCAGTGGATAGCAGAGAATGACATCAGTGGCATGACCAAGGTCTAAGATGTCAAATTACGTGGTCATCCACAGTGAAAGAAGTGAGACATACTTTTCAAAAAACAAACCTTACCAATTTGGCACACACTTCCAAACACCACTAAATCTACACGGAACTTGGAAGGTGGCGTTGATGGACATAACGTTAAGTACGACTGGGACAAAGACGAGACAGAACTTATACGTACACAGTGACGTGTGTGACGAAAGCATCGTCGACGGTGAAAAGGAAACTCTTCTCCGTCCCATCAGAACCGTCAAGGTGGCCTACTGGTCCCAATCGTTCGACGTTCCATACTACGTACCTGTGAAAAAGTTGGAAGTGAGAGACATATATTTTACATAAAGACGGATAAAGGTGATCTGGCTTCATTCTTGAAAGATCAGGCGACGATTACGCTTCACTTTAAACAATATCCTTTTCTATCATGAATGTTACAAAGATGTACGTTCCTAACGTAGGAAAATGGATAAAATATTACCAAGAGGTGGCACGTGGAAAGGAAAATGCCTATGTGGGCAATACGAAATGTAACGTGAAGCAATTCAGTGGAGGATTGTCACAGAGTTCAAACGAATTCATGATTCCAATAGACAAAACCGATAGAGAGGGAGAAAAATCTTAACCTGCGCGAGAGGTTAATGTAAGCATGGTCTCTCCAGCTCAACAAGCCGTAGAGCAAGCTAAATCCGAGATGAAAAGGAAACGAAGTCCATATCGTCGTCAGTCTACCAGAAAGCGTCGACGAATACACACTTCACGGACACACCTGAAGAAACAAAAAACAGGTAAAGCAAAATGAAAGGCGAGTAAAGTGAGCAGAAAATCGGTAAAAAAGAACAAAAAGAATCTAATATCGCAATGAATTAGCCACCTACACAGACGGCCGTAGAAAACCTTTACTATCAAGACGTGTTACCGATATCACAGATTACGAGCGATTCCGTTGTGGAATTCGTCGTTAGTGGAGAGAACGGATTGGAATTGATCGATTTTCGAAACACTTTGATATATGCCAAGGTAAAAATAACGAAAACGGACGGAAGCGCCATAGCTGTTACTAAAGACGTGGGACCTGTCAATTTGTTCTTACCTTCTTTATTTTCGCAAGTGGACGTCATCCTACAGGGGACGACCATCGTGTCTACGACCAGCCATTACCCTTCAGGGCCTACATACAGAGTCTCCTTAAATATGGTAAAGAAGCAAAGACGACCCAATTGACTACTCAGATGTGGGATAAGGACGATGAGGGAGACATTGCTGAACACAGTCCTAGAACCGGTTCAAACGGAGCGTTGCTAAAAAGGGCTCAGATGTTTTCAAGGTGGGAAGGTGTTAGACCTGGTCGGCCCGCTCTATCACGATTTGTACAAGATGGACAGGTATATATTGAATCAAGTCAACGTCAATATCAAACTTTACGGATCTTGTCTTTTGTCTCTTGTCCGATACCACATCGGCTGATTACAAGGTAGTATTCGAAGACATTCGACTGCACGTGAGCAAAGTCAAGGTCAACCCAGTCGTCATCTATGCACAAAGTCAAGCTTTAGGAGTGACCAATGCCAAATACCCGTTTCCGCAGACCATTCCTGCCGGGACAACAAACTTTACATACGTAATATATTTCAAGGCATGAGACCAAATCTGGTGGTAGTTGGATTCGTAAACGCCACCGCCACCACCGGTCACTATGAACAGAACCCTTGGTTCTTCCAACCTTATGACGTCACATCTATAGGACTCTACGTCGACGGAATACCGGCGGGTGGCAACCCTTTAAAACTCAAGTACGGAGCGACCGGTGGTCAGACTACCATTTCCGTTCTAAGGAACATGTTACAATCGACAGGGAAATGGCTCAACGATGCCGGTTCTGACATAGAAAGGGACGACGTTGCACAAGGATATGCACTCTACACCTTCGAATTGGAACCTACCTTTCAAACCAATCAATATCTCACCTTGTTTAAACAGGGAAACATCAGACTAGAGGTCATCTTTGGAACGGCACTGACAGCGGCAGTGTCCTGTATCATTTATTGCGAATATCCGGGCTATTTCGAAATCAACGCTGCAAGAGACATAGTGTTATTATGAACACTTCACAGCTGCGCTGTGCCATAGACTGCGATTCTGTAATGAGAAAAAGAGTCATGGGAGTTTACGCTCATGACGACGTATCCGACAAAATACGGTCATTTCAAGTCGGTTACATCGTTAATACGGACAATAGCGATCGTCCAGGAAGACACTGGGTGGCATTCTATTGTGAATATAAAGACGAGAAGGAATTCTTCGACAGTTACAGACATTTACCTAGTTATTTTTCATTTGAAGCGAACAGCTACAATGAAAGGCGATTGCAGAGTAACACGTCGAGAGTGTGTGGTCAATATTGTTTGTATTACCTGTTGAATCGTTGCAGGGGAGTATCGATGAGTTCTATCGTAAAACAATTTGGAAATAATTTGGAAGAAAATGACAATTACGTGTACGAATACATTCAGAATTCGTTTCCTTACTGTTTTTATCATACGTGTACTCATCAGACATGTTGTGCTGAATTGTAAATATAGTCATGATGTATAGAAACATATGTATACATAAAAAATTGCATTTTATGATATTAAATATAAATAGTAAAGTTTTGTATTTGTGTCTTCATTTGCTACGATGGCGTGGTATACTAGAGAGAGTCTCATCAAGTTTCAATCTCCGTGTAGAATCATGGTGTGTGGTGCGTCCGGTTCTGGAAAAACATTTCTGACAAAAATGATACTAGAGAACGCAGAAGGTTTGTTTAGTGAAATACCCAAAAAGATCATTCTTTGTTACGACACGTGGCAGCCCACGTTTGACGTATTAAGACGAAACTTGAAGGAAATCACGTTCCATCAAGGTTTACCGAACGAAGACCAATTTAGCGAATGGGGAGATATACAAGGTCATAAGTTATTGGTGATTGACGACTGTATGGCAGAGGGAGTGGACAGTCCACATCTGATGAAGATGTTTTGCGTGAAATCTCACCATCAAAACTTTACAGTCATGTTTTTAGTACAGAACGTATTTCAGAAAGGAAAAGTCATGAGAACTCTGAGTCTGAATACACAATATTTCATTCTGTTTAAAAACTATAGAGATCAATCACAAGTAGAGACATTGGGACGGCAGATATTCCCTAGACAGAGCGCTTATTTCAGAGAAGCCTATCAGTTGGCAACGTCAAAAAGATTCGGTTATCTGTTAATCGATGTCTCACCTTCGACTCCAGACGTAAATATCATCGGCCTGCGTTCCGAAGTACCGCCACTCCGAACCAGGATCTTACCGGGAGAGGACACGGTGTTGTATTTCCCTAAAAAACAATGAAAAGTTTAGTCGACTTCTGGCTGATAGCATCGGACAAACAGAAGAAAGGCATCTTGTTGACGCTAACAGATCAACAACTCAAATTTATGATAGAAATAGTTCATAACATCGCAACAGGTAACATTTTCATTTCTGACGAGGATAAAAAGAATATAGCTAAACATAAGGTGGTCATACGTAAGGTGTTGGTAGGAGGAATCAGTAGGCGTCAGAGAAAACGGAGACTACTGGCAGTGAGTAAAATATTACCCATTTTCTTTAAAAACTATTTGACATGGCTAGAGCAATGATATTGATATCAAAGACAAAATACGACGACATTATCAGACACGAGAGATTAGAAGAATCATCGACCACCTCCGCAGATGTTAACTCTAATAAATCGGAAAATGACGTCACTACCACCTCACCAAGTGCTAACTCTAATAAATCGGAAAATGATATTACCTCAGCACCATCCGACGAAATGAACAAGTCCAGGGAAAAGCCCAGTGACCAATCAGGGAGATAGAGCCACATCACTCAAACGGAGCATGCGTAGAAAAGCAAAAAGTCAGCGAGGCGGAAAACTGTATGTGAAGACCACGCCTCCTCAATTTGAGAGCAACCTTAAACAGACGAAACGCAAGTGGTTGTCATTCAAGCTGTAACACTCAAACAAATAGGACATACAGCAGA